TGAATCTACTTTGTAGTATTCTTTTACAAGAAGAATAATTTTCATGAGAGTTCAAAGTTCAACATTTGAAAATTCCACTTTTCACTGACATGATTCACAGAATGAGCTGAAATTCAACACAAGAATCCTGAAAATTGGCATTTTACAATATAAAAGAAAAATCTTTCCAGCCTGTAAGCTGGAAAGATTCTTCTTTGTCTAAATAACTCAAATTTTGGAAAGTGGGTGGAGCCAAAAACTTTTCAGCACTCAATAGTAAATCTATAAATATTTCTCTTCAAATTTTTAGTTAAAATTACATTTGATAAAAAATTAAAAAAAAAAGGCTTATAATTTTAACTCTTTCCTGATTTAAATAATGTTTTTAAAATCAATCTATAATAGTAAAAGAATTTATACCTGTAAAATAAAACTTCAGGGTAACTCAAGTTCCAAGTTTACAGTTTGTTTTTTAGAGTAATTACTACAAATTTTGTTGTAAACTGCAAAATCTAAATCAAAATTTAACATTATAATTGTGACAAAATGGGTCCCTGCTCAATTGGTTAGGTCACCCAAATAGTCAAGAGGACTGCAAATTATTTTATCTGGGTCTGGAGCAATGGCAGTCTTATGATGACCAACAGTAAAATCAATTTGTGAGTTTCAAAGCAACCACTCACTATCCATAAGGATCAAGTGACACTTGGACAGAAGATAAGGAATTCCAGACATGGACTTATATATTCAAGCCACATTCTAGATAAGGTCAGTCACAAGGTGTCCATGGAGATGTAGAGTCAGACAGTCAGAATCCTGATTAAAATTACAGAATAAAAAATATGTAGCAGTGAAGTGAAGCACAGTTGTTGTTGGCCAAAAGGAAAATCTGGTCCATTAGCTTATTATAGATGATGATAGCAGTGATATCTCAAGTACCACTTATAAACCCCAGACAGTGCTAGGTGAATCCATGAATCCAGCATACTGAAAACAGGATACATGTTACTTTTGCTTACGATGGTGATATTTCACCTTTCATTCCTTTGTCAAACATAACCCAGGTTTTGTTCACACCAACACAAATGGATTTGAATCATGGGGTGTGGCAGAAGCCAACCAGTCAGTGAAAAACTACCCAAGAACCTGGTTGTATATTTGTACAATCATAGCACATACAGTCCTGGAGTTTTCCAATTACAACCTTGTATTACTGAAAACACCAGTCACTTCCTTTCCTTTAGAATCAATGAACAAAAATAAACTAAAACATGCACGCTTGTATGAAGTTGTTTCAATACAAGAGTGGTCCTTTTGAATGTAGTTCAAACTAAACATTCCTAACGACAAATACAGAATAAAATACTTAGCCACTCAACATCTGTCTATATTTCTAAGATGAGGTATTGTAACTATTTACAACAGTTACATTGTTTGGACTGTTTATCTTTATTGCCATATTCATGTTTTGGCTGTTGTGCACTCTGGCCTTCTTCAGATCATATACATTGAAATTTTGAGCCAACCCTTTAGACCACAAGGGTAGATTTTTCTAATATTACATGCCATGCCTCTTTAGGATATCTCAGTCTCAGTTAATTCCTTTTAATTCCCTCTCCAAGTTTTGTTCCCTCTGCTGTGGCCAGATTGGCGCTGTGGCTTAGTAGCTGATTTCCAGTGATGTTTAGTCTCTGAATAATTCCCATTATTATATTATTGGCCTACACACATCAGCAGAAAAAAAGAAAGAAATCCTTGACACAGAAGTGTGATAACTAACAATTGCTTAATGAAATAGTCACAAGAAGCTTTTTTCTTGAAAATGTTATACATTTACCAATAATTTTCAAATGGATTTTTTTTAATACAACATAATTTCTCATGATTACAGACATTATTTTTAGTGGATACATGTTTGAGTTGATATCACTGTTTTTTCGTTTTCTTAAAACAGTGAAATTAATATCAATTGGCCTAGATCAAAAAGTTCTGCTAAAGAAAAATGTGCCTCCCAAATTCAACCCCTTTTTCCATTGTTTGATTCCTGTCAGGAAGCATTTTTTTATTAGCAGGACTTCTCAATCTAGTTCAGTTGTGATATATTGTGAGTTTCCCAAAGACTATTTTTTTTCACATGCCCCAAAATTGTGTTGTAATCAAAAGATGTTCAAACAATGGAGAAATGAATTCCACCAAAACAAACTTATTTAGGGTGAAAAAAAAAAGCAAAAAAAAGAAAGTGGTGTTTATATACAGATCATGGGTAAACATAGTATTAAAGGAGGAAGGGGGTTGTTTATTTATGACTATGCCATCCTAAGAGGTTGACATTCATTTCACTGTTTAAAAAATAAAATCAAAGATGTCAATTCAAACATATTCACCACTAAAAATAACATTTGTAATAATGAGAATTAATGTTAGATTAAAAAATAATGTTTGTTTAAAAATTCCTGTGTTGACGTTTTGTGTATGAAAATGAGGCTAGCAGATATAGATTTGAAGACGTCCAGTGTGACTCACGGTCACATCATCTTTTAAACACCAGTTCCCATATGATCACCGAAGTTAAGCAATGTCAAACCTGGTCAATACCCTGTGAATACCAGATGCTGTAAGCTTGGATGTGCAGGTGGTGTGATGGATAATGGCTTCAAATTGTTAAAGTTCCAATTCCCGTAGTTTGTTATTTTCACTTACACACAAATACCCTTTGGAAGGGTATGAATCCACTTTGTTTCTTTCCAGCTATGGGCTAATTAGTAAGACATGTATCACTAAATCATTATTATCTCCAATAAAAAAAAATTTTTCAATCTAAAAATTTTTTCTGGTTTTAAATAACATGCAAAGAGTTGATAAGCTGTAAAAAGCAAATTAATCAATCAATGAAGAGAAATATGCATTCCTTAAGTAGGTAATAGAGTCTTGATTTATTGTGATGGTCCCCAGTGACCAAAGTAGTAACGGCACGTTTTGGCTATAAAAATGGTTGCCCTGACACAAAAAGTGGATACATGTCCGATACCTATCAGCATTCATGTCTTTCTTTAGTAGGACTTCTCAATCTAGACTGGTTTACATTAATTTCACTGTTTAAGAAAATAAAAATCTGAGATGTCAATTCAAACACATGCACCCATGCACCCAATAAAAATCACGTTTGTAGTCATGAGAATTAATGTCAGATTAAAAAAAAATGTTTGCTTAAAAATTACTGTTTATGTTTTTGGTATGAAAATGAAGTTAGCAGATATAGATTTGAAGAAGTTCTAACGAGAGGTGCACATTCCTTAAGTAGGTAATTTGAACATCTCTTTACCATGAGCTTCTCAGGGTCAAATTGGTAACGGCATGCTTTGACTATAAGAGTATTTTTCCTGATGGAAAGTGGGGATACAGGTTTTTGGTGGGGGGGGGTGACACATAGGACTTTTTAATCTAGGCTGGTTGATATTAATTTCAGTTTAGAAAATAAAAAACAAGTATGTCAATTCACTTGGCACCACTAAAAATAAACCTGATTAATGTTGAGAGCAAATCTTTTCTATCTAAACAATCAATCCACACAGAATGCAAAGATGTGAAGTCAAGAAGTGATCAAAACGTTCAGTAAATAATGAATAAATTAATTTTATTCAACAACAGATGCTTACATAATTTATCTCCTTTGTGACGTTTAGAAATTATCCACTGAACATTTTGATCAATCTTTACAGAAGGGTTGATCAAAAAGTTTAAATAGGAATAAATAAATAAAATTTCATTATAATGTAGACACATTTGTTCTGATAGTTATAGAATTATTCCTGGAACTAAAAATTTTCACTGCTACTAATTAGTCATTAGCAATGAAACTTAAGCAAACTTTTTGATCATATATATAGATTGTACAAAAGTACACAAATAAACATGGTTAATGTTTAACTGTTACTATATTGTGAAAAGGCCTTTTTGAAATGTTTTAACAGCAAGGACAAGAATGAAAGTAAACAGCAAAAAATTAATGAGTTTATGAGTACACGACAATCATAAATACAGTATCCTAAAATGAATGTTGAAAGTTGGTTCATACAATTAATTTTGAATTTGTGCTTTTCTTTTTTTTTTTAAAGAACATAAAAACAAGCAAAGGAAATGCAATTTTGTTAGGTCATTTAATTGCTATAACTTTATTCAATTTATAACTTTTTAGTTCTAGTTTATTTGGGGAGGAGGGTTGATGTTACTTGTTTTATGTTCAAAATGCTATTAAATGATAAAGAAACTGCATTTATTTTTATTATAAAAGGCTTTTCTCAATATGGTATAAAATAATCATCTTGTGAGCAAGTTTCAAAAACAAAATGAACTTTTTTTTAATGTGTTTAATTCATGAAATTTGTGTTCATCTCTTCCCAACGTATCTATGATTTTCATTTTAAAATATATATATATATATATTATGATTAACCATTGATTTGGTTCCAATGAGAAAGCTCATAGGGAAACAGAAAGGTGAGAAAAATAGAAAATGTGTCTTTCGTAGTATCGAGTAAAGAGAAAGTAAAAATGAGAAAAAGAAGAAGTCAACACCACATCAGAAGAATACAGTCATAAGTTGTTCTTGATTTCTGTATACGTATTAAGTGTAATAAATGTAATTGAGCTACTCTTTTCCAGGTTTATGAGAATCGGATGAAAAAAAGGCAATTATTAAACCCCCACCCCACCTCCCACTTTTGTTGATACCCCCACCCCATAATCCAACATGTTTTTTTTTTTTTAAGGGCCATCAATTTAAAAAAAGAAAAAAAAAAAAAACAAGAAATGATTCAGTGTCCATCATCCCATTCCTCCTCTTCCATCCAGCATATGAATGAAGATATATTCCAAGATGTCGGCATGGAAACACTGCCCAAAACCCAGCAGTCAAAACTTGCAGCCAACAATGAAAATGATAAATGATAATAGTGATGGTCTGTGCTGATACTTCCAAGGTGGTTGGTGATGGTGATTGCAGAAATATTATAATGCCAATACTAGTACAGTCTGCAAGATAGAAACAAGAGAAAAAATACAAATACATACAGCCATTTTCCTCTATATGATGTTTTGAATTTACAAACAAATATTTAGTAGGATTTTCCATGACTGTTGCAAGTCCTCATACAGCTACAGGGAGAAAGTGGAGTAGCTATCAGACTTGCATAAATGATGTTTTAAAAATGGAGGAACATTACTAATTCCAATCTTTAAATTAAAGTGAGTCTTTTCCTTATTAAAACTGATTTTTTTTAAATGCTCTTAAGATTTTAAGTTCACAAGAAACTTTAATGTTAATTTGGCCACAAAATGCTTGCTAGTGAAATTCAAAAACCATTTAAGTTACGATCTTCACTTTTGTACTCTTTAACACATTTTGACTAGAGTTTCAAATAATGTAGAAGAATAATATTAGGGTACTTAAAGGATTTACTGATGAAAAGGACAACCAAATATGAATTCATTCATTCATCCAATTGTGATGACTTACCTCGGAGCTCGAAACGTGTGCAAACGTGTTTTGCTTGCATGATGAATCCGAAAAGAAACATGGGCGCTGTCGAAGACACGATTTATACACGCCGGTCTCGTCCAATACGAGATCGTACCAGTACACGTGCAAATTTCAGCAGTGTCGGACTAGCATCAAAAGGCGAGGCGCCAGCGTCACAGCAGAAGGTGAGTCATTCGGTGGACTTCGTGAAACAGAGTCGGACATGCGAATAGACTGGCAGACCATAGGCGGTTGAAATAGGCGCGTCTGATTTGAGTGTCCGTTTCACGACTGCCCGGTGTAACGGCTGAGAAAAGGAGTCTCGCAATTCATTTCTTTGAGGCAACCGACGGCGAAGAAGAACAGCTGGTTTACCGGCGAACCCTCTCATCACTTTTTGTTTTTCTCTTTTTTTTTTCTACAAGCTATTTCGGCAGATTATGGCGAAGGTTCACATAAGCAGTGACATTATAAAACCGTTTTTCGGCCAGGGCGATGTGGTGGCATGGCTGAAAAAGGTTAGGCTGGTGGCGAGACTTCAGCAGGTGGACGATGTGGCTAGTCTGCTACCATTATACCTGGAGGGGGACGCACCAGCCCTCTACATGGAAATGGAGGAGGAAGATCAAGGAGACATCGATCAAATCGAAGCCAGGCTGAAGCAGGCATTCGCGGACAATGCGTTTTCAGCATATAGAAAACTGACCATGGTTAGGTGGACCGGCGAGCACATAGACGTTTATGCAAATAAAGTCAGACAGTTTGTTTGATTGGCCAGATTCGAGGGAGACGAGATGGAAAGGCTCACCAAACTAGCCTTCGTCATGGGTTTTTCTGATGCGATCTCCCTCAAACTCCGACAGGCACTGAACGTTGAAGCACTGACTGTAGGGGAGTTGTTAGCAAGAGCAAGAGTGCAGACAACTACCGGAGATGAAAGACAGAACGTTGTTGCAGTTGTGCGCCCACCCCGTAGTGTCGGCGCATCTCCCACCAAGAGCGGCCCACGCACCAGTGTAACATGCTACAGGTGTAGCATTAAAGGCCACATGGCAAAAGACTGTCGGAAGCACGGAACACGCTGCTATCAATGCGGGGAGTTTGGACACTGGGCCCGAGACTGTTCGGGAAACGCTACAGGAGACAAGTTATAAATACGGCGCTTCCAGTGGCAAACGTCCTTGTTGACAGAACTTCATGCTCGGCGCTGATCGATACCAGCTGTTCACAGACAATTGTGGATGCAAATCGGTGCCGGTCTTGGAAGAAAGTGAAGGTGGATGTCATGACTATTTGAGGCGTGTCTCGTCCATGTTGCGGTGTTGGAGTGGTAACTGCATCCACGGAGGAAGGCGGTTCTGCTAAGATCAATGTGCTGGTGGTGCGCGGTAAACCACTGGGATTTGACCTGCTATTGGGGATTGATGCCATAACAGCATTGGGAGGTGTTACTGTAGGGCCTATGGGATGAGCACAGATTGGCAATGGGCGAGTAGCCAAATGTGCACTAGTCGGACTAGCATAAAAAGGCAAGGCACCAGCAGCACAGCAAAAGGCGAGTCATTCGGCGGACTTCATGAAACAGTCGGACGTGTGAATAAACTGGCAGACCAAGAGGCAGTTGAAGTATGCATGTCTGATTTGGGTGTCCGTTTCATGACTGCCTGGTGTAACGGCCGAGAAAAGGAGTCTCGCAATTCATTTCTTTGAGGCAACCGATGGCGAAGTAGAATAGCTGGTTTGCCAGCGAACCCTCTCGTCACTTTTTGTTTTTCTCTTTTTTTTTCTACACCAATGTTAAAACTATTAGTGTTGACAATATTCTAAAGTGAAATAAACATTGCATTTACCTTGACTTGTACTGAAAAGTTCTAATTCTGCAAGTTCAGGCACTGTCTCTTGGGACCAGAACATCTTGGTCAATGTCATGCAGTACGACCTCGCTGCCAACTAAAGATACAAACAAAAAAGTATAAGAATCGAATAAATCAATATATCTATATTTAATTCCAAAGATACTTTTGAGAGACAAATGCCAAAATATTGGCATGAAAGCAGATCCAAAATAAGCCAAAGACAAACGTAAAAGACAGATTTTGTTCATAGAAAATTGTAAATCTTTTCAAAACTGAAAAGATTCTTTTAGTTATGCAAAGAAAATTTATAAATTTAAAATTATTGCACTAAAAATTATTCATCAAGAACAAAATCAAAATGTAAATAGTGTAAATATAAATAATTATCTTTTATAGAACGCAAAATTTGTATCATTGTTTTGTTTTTCTTAACAGAGTGATATAAAAGAGAAAGGATTAAATAAGATAGAGACAAACTTACTTGTTTCGTCAACACTAGGAATCCAAATTTCTGGCATTACACTGACTGTGGGAGCAGAAAATTCCTAAAGAGTATCAGATAAATATTTTTAAAATACAAAAGACCAAAAAAATTTCAATAAATCCTGGACAAAATAAAATAAATTTGAAGCAAAAATTTTCAGTTAGTGCTTGTCATTGCATTATTTAATAAAACATTATTATTTATTTAACAGTAGCACAAAAGTTATCCTTAAATGCTAGCTTTATTATAAAAATATAAATATCTGTTAACAACCAGCAAATGATTTACCATTGTAAGAAAACAAAATGATAAATTTAACATATACCTGTCCATTTGAAATTATTTTTTCTAATCAGCTACCAAAAGAAAAGAGTCTAAAGTGTATTAAAATTCATATTTGGGATTATAAATTGCAAAAATCAGAAAACATTTTAAATCTAGAAAAAAATCTTAAATAACAATATTAAGGTTGAAATTAGTAAAACATTTCATTTAAACTGTATTTTAAAATATACCAAAAGCTAATAAATTCACATATTTCTGATAATAAACATCACTTTTAAAAATTTCGTCTAAAGTAAGTACTCATAAAAATGTAATTTTTTTATTACATATATCATTATACTAGAGCAAAACTGTAAATTAAATTCATACAAGTACAAATTCAAATTCCTAATTAGTCAAACTGACATAACTCTATATACTAATTATCTCCCTTCGCAAATTTTTTTTTTTTTCTTTTGCAAATTTCTGAAAATCAGACACTTAAAACAATAGCTCAATTTTTGACGTATTCATTTCGCTCGTTTATTTGGTCTATAAGAGTTTCTAAATAAATCTTTTAATTCAATATGCAACAGACTACTGAGTAAAAAGTTTCAGCAATGCCTGATTTAAGAAAATATTATCAATGATTTCATAATATACTTTGAATGTATTATCTCAAAGAAAAGATTGAATTTAATGCAAATCATCAAGAGATTACACAAGTAAACATTATTGTCTATACTGCGAATAGGTTTCTCTGTTGTTATTGTGTTGCATTGTGCTTTTACTATTGTTCACCCAATACAAAGCCTAGGTCTTACTGTAGCTGGAGAGTTACTAAATGGGAAAGTTATAAGGGTATATATATATATATATATATATATATATATATATATATATAGGGAGGGAGCAAGGATGGCATATTATGAGGATATGTAGGATAGATTTGACCCTCAGCTTGAAGAGGTTAAGACTGTAGTTATCAGGGAAGCATCCTCTGAGGAGAACTTTCCACATTGCAAACATTCTACAGGCAAATTCACTCCTCTAATTACCATTTTAATAAATTGAATTGGGTTTCAAAGAGTTAATATTCAGTAACTTTAAATGATCAAAGCATTAAGGATTAAATTCAGAATAATACAGTGAAAATATATTTTAAAAAATAATGACATTAATGAAAATGTTTACAAGAATCTAATGTACTTGTTAGTTAGCTCATATACAAAAAGGTTGTGCTGAAAGTTTCTTAGCCCAACCCACTTGCCAAAATCTGACCAAATAAGCAAACATCACTTATTGGGGAAGGGAGTGGGGCGTGGTCAGGTTAAGAGCTTTTCAGCAACCCCCTCATATTGCAGCAAATCTAGCAAAAAGAAATAAAGATTTGGTTGTTAAAAAAAAAAAAAAACATGTTAAAATAATCCATTTATTATTCATAATAAACAGCTTATCTTTTCTATATATTCATAAAATGAATGCACTATCTGTTCATTGAACAACATTAACAAATCTATGAAGACCTGACCTTGGAAGATTCAGAATTTTCCAATTCTAATACAGTTTGGCAAACATCTTCAGTTGGTTCCACAAGATCACTGAAAATTTAAAAAGAAAAACAATCAATTTTAACAAAAGGACAAAAAATAATATATACATTAAAATATACATATAGAATGTAAACTATAAAAAAAGATTACACTCTTGCTTAATAATATATTTCACTATTTTAATTAAGTTTTAATTCTCATTTAAAGCCTGTAAATAATTACAACAAAGTTAAATATGTCAACAATACAAAATAAGATTATGTTAAACTCTATAACAGGTCACATTTCAATCAGAATAGAATTTTTAAATTACAATTTAATGTAGAATAGTATATCATAGTACAAAAGTTGGCAAATTAATTTCACAAGTTGTAGATAATGAGTTCAGTGCTAACTAAATGTCTAATTAATATAAACTTTTTGCCAGACTCCATTTTAACTGATATGTCAATATAAGATAATCACAAATGTTCTGTAAAGAAAGCACGCGAAAATATAAAAATAAAACAATGTGGAATAATTAGTCATGTTTAATACATAAGAAAAATGCATGCAGTTTTTATTCAGATATCTTCATAACTTCCCACCATCCTCCTCTATTTTAGTATAATTTCTTCTCTCTATTTGCCAAGAAAATTTTATAGCAATTACATATTTTCCCATAAGAAATTATTTCAAACATTACTGATTGCTGTATTTTATTCTCAGCAGCAGACATCTGATATGATGATTTTATTAATCTGTTTGCACTTGAGTTTCAAATAGAAGGGATGGTTGGATTAAAGGTGGTGGCTGGAATTTTCTTTTTTTCCAGCAATGAAACACTCTGTCCTAGAATGTTTATGGCCTAAATTAAGGAGAGGGAGAAAAATTCTTAATATATAATAAAAGGGATAATTGGAATAAGTATGTGCCAGATGGATTTTTCTTCAAAAAGGAATAACCATCCCCACCTATCTATTTGAAAGTTAAAGGTAAGGTCCAAACTAATTAACGTTGCTGACTAATGAACTAATGACACCAGCAGTACAACTAATAACATGCAGATAAATCTTTCATTAATTTACTAACCAAAAGTGGATCCAATATTTCAAAGAAATAAATTAAGGATGTTGTCTCTTTTGGCATATAAAACAAAGTCTTGTTGAAAATGAATCAATGAGATTTCTTTATCCTTTTTGCTTTTCTTACCTGGTTACCATATCAACAGTTTGGCTCTCTTCCACAATGTTCACATTCTGAACAGGATACCATGAAGATTCATTAGTTGTGCTTTCTACATCATTTTTCTCAGAGTGTGAAGGATCTGGTGAACTACTGTTTGATTTGCATAAGTATTGTTCATCACTGATAGGAGTCAGCTCTCCATCGTCTTTTTTATTCATATAGTCATTTACTTTTTGCAGAGCATCTTCAAATTTTTCTTTCCATTCAGACTCTTGGCCTTGTTTCTAAAGAATAATAATCACTATGTCAGGCAAATATTTGTTGTTATATGAACATAAAACAATAAAAAAAAGGCCAATATTCAAATTGCTATACTGACATTTGATATGAAACATTTCAAAGTTAAGCCCCACAACATAACTTAGAGATACACAAATCTTACTCATTCATGGTTTATTAACAAATATTTATAAAATTTGATAAAAATGGATAACTATCCTCTCTAAATTATATATTTCTTAAAATTTTCAAAAAATATCAATATCTTGTACTTTGAAACAGCCAAATTTTCAAAATCATTAGTTTGGGAAAAAAAAAAAAAAAGGAATGAAAATTTAAAAAATATACTTCAGATGCTGGAATGTAAGAAAAAAAAGCATTCTAGATTTACAAAGGCATCAAATTTCTTACAATAATAAATAATTTGTATCATATAGAAACAATGAAAATTTCAATTCTCAAATTTATAGAAACAAAATGATTGTTTTAATTTCTTTTTTAATTATGATTAAAATTAAACTTCAGGTTCTTTTTCATTCTAAAAAGTGAAAACAGCAAAATATGACAGGTGATTAATTATTATCCGATCATTTTAAAAGTTTGTACCCAATTTTCATTGTTAATATAAAATGACTGTAACTTGACACTGGTGTTTGTTTTGGTACTAATTTCTGATGTATTCTAGATTGAAACCTTGCATCATTCAGTTGTGAGTAAGACTTTGTTAATGTCTTGTCCATAAATGAATGTCTTAAAAGATGATGGATGAAATGTACTTTTGCCATATTATGTTCTATGAATTTCAGGAAAGTGTAGGCATCAGAACCACAACAAAGAACATTCAGAAGGTTTATTTGGATTGTACTTAGCTCTTTGGATAGCCAAAAAGTGGTTTGACAGATTTTGTCAGGTTGATTTTAACCTAGATGCTCTTCTTGCCAACATAGATAATTAACATTTTGATGGGAGCGATTGTTAAAAGTTTGAAAATCAAAATCTCAGCTGTTTTTGCAATTTGAAGAGATTTGGGTTCTTTTACAACTCAACACATGGGTGTCACATTCTCTAACAGAACAGAACAAGCTCATTCATGTTTCTGCAATGATTTTTTTGGTGCTATACCACAAAAGGCAGTCGTACTTGGATAGAATTATCACAGGCAATGAAAAATGGATCGTTTATGATAACATTCAATGCTAACGGAGTTGGAAACAAGCTTGTGAATGTGTAGAACCCATGGCTAAAGCAAGCTTGCAGCAGGATAATTCACTTTGAGCTTCTTCCAGTCAACAAGACAATAATTGCAAAAAAGTATTGCAGACTAACTCACCAATCTCAATGAAGCTATTCAAGAAAAACCACCGATTTTGGTAAACCAACACGGTGCCATTTTCCACCACAAAAACACAAGACCAAATGTTGCAAAACAGACCTTGCTGAAGCTTAAAGAGTTGAAATGAGAAACCCTCCAGCATCCACTATATTCTCCTGACTTGGTTCCTTCAGATTATCATTTGTTCTGATCTCTACAGAACAATTTAAATGACAAAAAATTTCTCTTTGTAAAGTCAATCAAAAACTACCTCAGAACCATCTTCCAACAAAAAATACAAAGTTTCTACAAAAATGGCATCAACAAGATTGTAGAATGATAGTAGACAGTTGCTAAAAACAATGGAGGTTATGTATTTGACTAATAAATATTTTTTGTCAGTATGTAAAATTTTGTTTTTAATTTTCTAATCAAGCACAAACTTTTGCTACAATTTAATACAACAATTATGATATGAAAGAAAACTTACAATAAATTCTTCCTTACGAAGATCATTAAATGAAATGACTGTATCTTTACTGTAACTTATCCCAAAACTGAAACATAAAAATGAATAAAATTAATGTAAATTTAAATTTTATATGTCCTTTAAATCAAATAAAATGATTGAAAGCATTTAAAAAGATTAATTTTTTAAAAATACTCACTCAAGTGTTTCTTTAGCCAATATCTCACCAAAGAAGCGCACACTGAGTCGGTAAATATGATGCTTTTTTGTGTATACTTTACTTATCTAAAATAAAGAAAAAAACAAATTACATAACAAAATCAATGAAAAGTTGCTACTGATAAATATAAGACCAGGCAATGATGTTTTTAATATTTTTCTACACAATGTCAGATCTTATTAGGCAAACCAATGTTTTCACAATAAAATTGGTATTAACCAACATGTTGGTAAAGTTTTCAGGATATATTTATATATATTTTTAAATGCTTCAGGACATGGGCTGCCAAGCTCCCCACAGCTTCTTTTTCTTTAATATTCTGAATTGCTATGTCAACTTAGTAAAGACAATTGTTTCCTGTTGCCTTCTCTAACCAAGTTTCAAGAGCACAGTCTACCCTACTTATTTAATCTACAGTTACAAAGAGAAAAGATGGATTCTTGCCTTTCCCAAGGGCATTAGTGCAAAATGAACTTAACAGAATCTGATCTTGGCTCACTGCTTCCACTTTCCGCACTGATATCTCTTAGGCTACTCACACACACAGTAATGATAAATATGTCATGTGAATTTCATCTGATAACATTTGTTTTTATTAGAAATATTTACAATAACAAATTTAGTGGTGTGAGATTTTACTATGCAACTCAAGGGTTGTTGATCATATTGTAAATAAATATATAAAATAGTATAGTTACTGATATTTATTTTTTAATTTCAGATATATAAAGATAAAAAAGTCACTGAGTGATGGAAACACAATAGTGAAGTTTGCAAAAAAGTTGAATAGAGATCACAGGACAATCAAAAATGAAATTGAAAATATTGGCAGGATAAGAACAAGAAATAAAAACTGGCTTTGAGAATGTCACAAAAAAAAAAGAATTAAGAAAAATTAAGAGTTTTATAAACAAGTGAATTGATCAGTAAGAAAATATTTGAAAAATCTGGTATTGTGAATGTAAAGAAAAAAGATGCTGAATAACATTGTCTAAAGACACAAAAGCAAACAAACTCCCATCTTTAAGTAAACATCGCAAAAAGGAACATGTAATTTGGTTGGGTGAAAAAGTACATAAAAACTGATTTCTAAACATTGAATGAGCCTGATGGCTGGGATAGAGTTTAGAACTTTCAAGGAAATAATCAATCAACATTACTCAGAATTCCAAAAGTAGCAGGTGCTTTAATGTTTAGGGTTAGTATTGTAAGCAACAAAATTATAAATGTCTTCAATTGATGATCATTCAAGATAAATGCAGAAAAGTTCCTGGATCAAATGAGTGATGCAAGTCACAATCAAGAAGCTTTAAACTGAAGAATATATTCACGCAAGACATTCTGCAATGCTGACTAATGTCCACATTACCAAAAAAGGTTGCAATAATACCAAATTAATAAAACAGTTCCCAGCCTCCCAGGACAAAAAAAAAAAAACAGCTAGTCTATCAATAGGAAATGAAAATGGAAAATGGAGGCCAAAAAGAAATATTCAGGCCAAAATAAAAGTGGTTGCAAGCAAATGTTAAAGTCAAAACAGTAGAAAAGTTAAGAAAATCATTGAATAAAAGGTTAATGAATGTCAAGGAACCTATATTTAACATATAAAATAATAATTTATTCAGGTACATGAGATATTTTGTAACATTATATTTCTCTGGGCCATATATTTTTCCTTTAGTGACAAATAAAAATTTGTTGCACTTTTATTTGCTTAAAAATCCAATATTCTCAAAAGAAGTTGTCAGTATTTTAATAAGGATATATATTATAAGCTAAAATTAACATGCTATATTCCTTGTATAAAGCATATCCTGATAATTCTACTAGTATCTATTGGCTAATACAAAATTTATTTTGAAAACATTGTGCATAATAAAATTTCAGCATATAATGCATTTTCTTTTAGTCTTTTCTTAGATTTTGTTGGAAGATTATTCAACAATTGAAATAAATTCAGTAAGAAATATTTAGATGCAAAAATTAAACAAAACAACAAATTTTGTTTCAATAAAGTCCATAAGTACTGTATTGAGTTCAATGTGTTAAAAGCTACATTGTGCAGATAATCATTGAAAATATGAAATATTTATTCACAAAAACTACACAGGAATAATGCAAACACTGTTTAATTTCTGCAACAAAAAGACTCATCCAATGATATTTGCATATGAAAAAAAAAAAAAATTGTAACAAAAAAGAACATGCTGTAAATAATTTGTCAAACAGGACAATTCAGTAGTAGGTCAGTCTCAAAGTTGATTAAAAGCAAATGAAATCTCAAATGTTTATCCTTGGATAATTTACTGTTAACTTTTAGTTGAAAAAGTCCCCCATTGGTATTTTATTGGCACTAATTTTGTAAGAAGTCATGTAAAAGTGAGTAAATCATTTAATGATGCATGCCTGAAACTTTGAAAGAAAACAAAACAATACTAATTAAAATTTATTGTGCCTAGGAGAATTCACCAGCTCAAAGAAAGGCTAAAATTAACTGAGAATAATTCTAATTGGATAAAAAATATTAATGTATTTCTTATGAAAATTTTTATTGGCTAGAAAATACCAACAAAATAATTCTGAGTTTTATCAATAATACTTGCTTTTATTTTTAATCTGGCGATTTTATGTTTGGAGTAAAATCTTAGCAATCACAAGGATTCCTATTGGTCAGAAAATGTAAATAATGAAAATTTAAATTTTTAGTCAGCCTGTCAACTTAAAATTTCTATGCTGATATCAAAAATAAAAGAAGTCTCTTTGCAATACATGATCATCTAAACAAAATAAAAAAAAAAAAATGACTTTGAAATATTTTTCTGCTTATTATTTAGAATCTAGTTTCAAGAGAAATAAATTCAGCCATTAGACAACACAGCTAAACCTCCCGGCTTAATTTGCAGGTTGTTTGTTTTAAGAAAGCAGAAACTAAACTAATTAGAGTTTCAACTTAATATTTTCCTATCAATTTACGATTGGTTTTCTTAAATAACAATGAAAAACCGATTTTAAAATTTTTCCCTTACCAAAGCTGGCCAGAATGGATATTTGTTAAATTTCACCCAAACTGTATCATTTTCCACTACAGGAAGATCTGTAAATACAAAACATGCCAATTTTACAAATTGTGAATCCAATCTTTGTATTCGTACTTTCAAAAATAAAACACAAACTATTATTACTTTTCAAATTTATAGCATAAGATCTTGGAAAGTTACTTGGTTAAACTGTACTCAAATTCTAAAAACTGGACTTTTAATTTTAGAGTTTAAACAAGTACCAATTCACCTGCCTCTCTTTATATATATATATATATATATATATATATATATATATATATATATATGTATAAATTAGAAAGGTGAAGAGAAAAGGAAAATTGTTTGTATCAATATTCTTTCCTTGACTATTTCTTCTTTGCTAAACTTGAAGATATTTTTGTACAGTTACAGTTCATGTGACCATTAGTGAAATTCTAAAATTACATTTTTCAACTGCATATTAGTATTTTGGTAAATTGTTATAACATGATGAAACAAGACTGACCATTTCTTGCTTGGATTCACTTGTTTTTTATATCACCAAGTAAATCAGAAAAATAAAGGTTTACAAATTACTTTTGCCTGGAGATGAAAAACACTAATCAAGTACAATTATAAAATCCCTTAACAGTTTTGATTTAATAATACAGCAAACAGAATTGCTTAACTGAAAATACTTTCAGAAATTAGGATAGAAATCAAAAGGAGAATTGTTTTTCTTTACCTGATTTCATTGCACTTAGGCCTGCAACTTCATCATCAGTACTGCAAGAGCTATCATCTGAATAAGCAACTTTGTTGTCAGTGTTCAAAGCAGAATTAACTTGTCTGAAATGAGAAATAAGAGTGTGAATCAACAAGCTATACTATATCCATATAAAGACAGCAGATGTGACAGGAGACAAAACAAGAAATGATAATCAGCAATGTATAAAATAAAATATTTGTGATACAGATCCAGGAGACATAGATTCAAAATGAGAGTCTGTATATATATATATATATATATATATATATATATATATATATATATATATATATATAAACAAAAAAAAAAAAGTGATTTAAATTTTTACAATGTCAAACTTTCAGGTAAAACTGGGATAATCAACATCAATATCTGATATTAGGTTGTTAAATATATTCATTCATTTTTTTTTCTGATGTTCTGTGAATGATCTCAAAGAATAATCTTTCATGGCATTTTTTGCTTCTGAGTAACTCTGGTCATCCTGTCAATGCCTAATGTTATTGAAATTTTATTTCAGATTAGCCACCCCTTTGAGATGGAATGCCAAGTAAACAAGAATGAGCATGTTTAACATGTCACAAAGCAGCTTGAGATATATGCACTGTGTACAGAGATGACTTCATTATCAAGAGAATGGCACATAAATGGTTTTCCCATTTCAAGGAGAGGAAGTTCGAAGTTACAGACTCTCTGCATTCTGGCCGGTATGTTCAGTTTGTTGAGAACCAATTGCACACACTGATTATAGAAGAACTGCACCAGACCACTAGGGAATTGGCTCAGGAGTTGGCATGCTCTTATGTTAATGCCACTCATCTTCATTCAAGTCCAGAAACACAGTGCATGGATGCCACACGCATTGGCCAAGAGAAACAAACTCCAGTGTTCCTCCATTGCCAGCAGTTTACTCACACAATACCAGGCTACTTGGGGATATAAAGAAAGTTTCTTTTACTGTATTACAGGGTTCCCATAGTTCTGTGTAAAAGCATTCAAGCTTGACTTTTTTGGTCTTCAGTTCTTCAGTTTTCATAAGCATGGATTTCCGTTTTTGTTCAGCTGCTTCTTCCTGCCTTTTTTTTTTTCAGCCTCAAGATATTGGTTGCATTCTGTTCTGGCATTGGAAGCACTGCAGAGAAGAGCCTTAGTTATAGGAACATTCCCAGTACCACCAACTGTGGCCAAATAGTCCATGATAATGCATTGTGCAACCAGAGTCTGCTGTTTCATATTATCAGTGGAAATTTCTTTATTAACTGAGAAACCTCTCTCCACTGAGTCCTGTCTATGAGAGAGTACCAGCAATCTGCAAACAACTTTCCATAGTTTTTGTTATTCTGTTGCTTGACAAAGAAGAGTAGAACAAAGTGTCCAGATGGTCTTCATGCATGCTGAAATTCTTGAAAGCAATATTTCCAGCAGCCTCCTCCTTGAACTCTCTTTGTACTGACTGATGATGTCATCAGAATTAAACTTGCTGATTTGTTTTCTGCCCATCATGTGGGAAAGACATCTTTTTAGATTGTCTTCTATGGCAATTTTCTTTCACAAATGCATCCAGAGTTCATCCATACAAGTGACCTTACAAGAGGATAAGGGGAGAATTTGCAAAGGTTTCTCAATGATGATGATGAACAACATTGTCTTTGTTGAAATTCTGCATGAAAAAAGATCTTTTGTTAACACATTTCCTTTCTTGGATAAATTTTGTTTAGTCCTATCTGCCAGAAATCCACACTCAATCTTAGTAGTATCTTTATGCATGTTTAGGTTTGACAATCTTTATGCATGTTTAGGTTTGACAATCTTTATGCATGTTTAGGTTTGACAATCTTTATGCATGTTTGGGTTTGACAAAATTCTTACAAATTCATCCAGTTTGGAAAATGTAATTATCTTTTTAGTATGCCTTTCCTTTACAAATTTTAACAGTTTCATGATTCTGCTAAAAAGATCATCTGTAAGAAAAGGAAGCAACAGTTTATCACTCTGGTATTTTATCAGAAACAGTTCAATGTCTTTCAAAACAAGCACAAAAATTTGCAATTTCACTGGATATAAAATGTCATTAACATTTGACAGAACAGCAGAGAAGAACTTAGTCTGGGTACATTTTTTTATTTCAAATTTCATGACATCTAGCCAAATGTCTAGGAGTCACACAGATGTTTGTACATTTTCTAACCATAAATATAATAATTCATTATTTTCCTTTCAGCAACAAATTCAATGAGTGTGAATTCATTTATCTTTGATGGAGAGTTTAACTTGTCTATGATGACTTTTATTTTGCTTTCCATCTTTTCTTGCTGAGTGAGTGTAGCAGCTAGAAGAGACACCTTCATATTCATTCTCCCTTTTTTTCTTGTCACTTAGATGAGAAAATATAGAAGTAACTACAAGGTCATGAACTCATTCCAATCAAGGAAACAAACCACCATTCACAATAACTGCCAAATATTACTAACAACTAAAAGAACATTTTTCTTAAAGGAGAATTTTTGCTTGTCAAAAAGCTAGATTTCTGGGATTTGGCATTTTGACTTTCATGAATTGAGAAAAGGGATATGTGGGCATCCCAATTCAGAAAATTCCAGGACTTTTCAAGGAGCTTTTGGGTTACTGCTGTTTTTCCAGGGGTTTTCAGGCCCTGGAAAAGGTCCTGTCAACTTTCCATGACTTTTCAAGGTTTCCTGACCTTATCACTGGGGATGTAAAATGGTGTCTTTATGTGAAACGAAGCAGAGAAAAGAATGGGTGAGTTCCAAAAAGCAGGCAATACCCCAAACCAAGCCAGAGCTGCGTCCACATAGGTGAATGATTTGCATTTGGTGGGATTGGCAAGGATTAATTTACTATGAAATGCTTCAAAACAACCAAACAGTCAATGCTAAGCTGTATGTTAAAAATATGAACAGGCTGAAAGAGGCAAGTCAGCTGAAAAAACCTGGCCAGCAATACAGTGTGATTATTCACCATGTCAATACTTGCCCCTACATCAATAACATGACCAAACATGCAATTAAAGAGCTCAGTTGAGAAGTTTTGCCATAACCACAATATTTTCCTGATTTAGCCCCTTCAGACTATCACCTTTTTTAGTCACTCTCTAACAATTTGAGGGGTGTTTTGTTCAACAATTATATAGAGCTTAAAACATTGCTTGATGAATTTTTTGAGTCAAAGCTTAGTGATTTCTATTGCCGAGGAATTGAACAGTTAGTGGATCATTGACAGGAGGTTGTAAACAATGAAAGGGAATACATTGTTGAATGGTTTATCAGAACTATTAATTAATAAGAAAATAAATTATAAAAAAATGACTTAATCTAACAACCTAATAACTATTTTTAAGAGCAAACAATTTTTTCAAGGACATATTTTTATGTGGTTAGTGAAAGAAAAGTGTAATCCTTTCTCTGTGATTTTCTGTACAATAACATTGAAGTCAATAGGATAGCAGCATAAAGGCTTTCAGTTCATTTCAATGAACTATTTTATTAACATGAGTTGCAATCATTGTAAGTGTTTAATAGTAATACTTAAAAGTTTCCAGTGAACAGTGATAGAATTAATTTTCTCTTCCAAGAAAAAAAAGTTGAACCTACACAAAGAGGATCCTAGAATGTTCTAAGCCTGACTGAAAAGAATCACCTGGAGCAATGAAATGTACATACTATTCAACATATTCACCCTGAACTTTAACACACTTAGTATATCATTTCACAAGTTTCTTCTATGTGCTGTGTCCCTTCAGGACATACAGTCATGACTCTTCACAACTTCCTATCTCGTGGCTCTTAGCAGTTTTTCTCCCTTTGCTAAGGCCCCACCCCACAAGCTCGTCAAGTGACTTGCTGCCTACTCCTATTTCTCTTGCCCTTAATATGCCCCTCAATGGTTAAGTTTTCCAAGCCCTCCTTCCTCTTTATGCATCCAAAAAATTTCAGTTCTCTTTTCCTGATTTTGGGTATAAGCTTTCTTTTAGTTGCCATTTTCTTTAAGACTCCCTTGTTGATTACTTGCTCCATCCATAGAATTTTCAGTATCCTTCTGTAAGATCCTATCTCTGCTGCTTCCAGTTGTTTCCTCATCCTCAGGGAAATTGTTCTGATGTTTGGTCATTGAAAAATATTATCACCTCCAAATCATTTGAAAATTTTGTTTCAAACTCCTTTTAAAATTTTGAAAAAGGAAATAGTCAAATGGAGCAAGATTTGGTAATCATGGTAGACAGTCTATTACACTGAAATCCAAAATTCTTCAAAACATCCATTGTCTTACCAGCCTTGTAAACAGGTGCAATGCTCTGCCTTCACTGATATTTTTTTCAATAGCTTTTATGCAGCAAATTCAAGTAGTATTCTTCATTAGCAATTTGGGCTTTCTGAAGATAGTCACCAAAATACTTTATCCTCTCAAAAATCTACAAGCATGACCTTTCATGTTAACTTTTGGGTCTTGAATTTCTTTGGCTCTGGAAAACTTATTTTCTGAAGTAATGAGGTCACCTACTCAATTGAGGCAAAATCAGATAAAAGACACTATTTTCATTAGGTCATCTATTTAATTTAAGTAGAGTTGAGTAAATAATACTGTTGTCTAATTTAATTTATACATATGCAGATGGTACAAAGATCCGATATTCCATTGTTTAGGCACTGTGACCACAGATATATAACAGAAAACTTGTGAGAGGAAGGGGTTATTCTTTGTCTGTACAGAAAGTGTTGTCAGGCTGGTACAGAGGATCTGTCAGTTGCCACGTTGAACCACACTGTTATATGCACCACCACACCACTAGAATTGCTGTTGGAAAAATAAAAGTGGATTCTCCCCACAAACACTGGCTGTTGTTATCTTCGATGTGTCTAAGTGAACATTTTATCCAACTTCATCTCTTTGTGAGCATACCCAGACAGCTTCAGCCAACACCGATAAGCCATGTTTAAAAAAAAAAAAAAAAACACATAGGGTCGATTACTTGTTTAACAAATCTGTCAGCATGATAGGGTATGGCCACACCACTGCATGAACTGTTGTTTGGTTTCTGGATCATAGTAGTCTAAACATATTTTATAAACAGTAAAAAGCTATTAAAAAAAAAAAAAAAAGTATAACTATATCCTTAAAATTGCAGCAAAATTAACTTGGAGATATCCAATTGGTATAATTTCTGGTTGGCATTCATTCATTTTGTCACCTACTTCAATAACAGCTTTTGTATACCCAACTGCTCATGAAGGATAAACCCAACATATTCCCAAGATATCTCTACTGTTTCAGTAATTCTTTTGGCTGATGTTTGTCAAGTGGACAAAATTAGGTCATATACATAGTCAATTCCAGGAGTTGACACTGGAAGACATCCCAGACCATGCTGAACCTTGGATTTCAAAATCCTGCCACTTCTTCACAATTGAGTACAAAGAACACTTGTAACCAAATATTTGCATCATACATTCATGGATTTTCTTCTACAGGAACAGAAACTTTATGATGGCCCAGAGTTAAACACTTGAAAATTCTACACTTTCTGATGATGATTTGAAACAAATTCAAAAGCAAGCACAAAGATCCTGTAAATGGGTATTTTACAATATAAAACAATACTCAGTAACAAAATACACTCAGTTTTTGGGAAGTGTATATGAGTCACTTAGCAAATGCAGTTACTGGGAAAGAAGTGTGTGCATGTGTACAATTACTGTATAAATAGATCTGAGTGCAGATATTTAGGTTTCATTTTTAAATTCTATACAAATTGTTGCTAAGAAATCAGTCTCAATGAATGTTTCTCATTTTTTGAGAATTACAAAAGGCAAACATAATGTGAAAAAATATGAATATTTTTATGATAAAAGGGTTTCTTTTTTTCTTTCTTTTTCTTTAATAGGAAAAATTTTGTATTTAAAAGAGGTCAACAGATGCAAATTTTACCCAAGAGTGACTTGGAATTACATGAAGTAGAACAATCAATATACATTACTTCACACCATTTTGTCACTCTTTCAGATGTGCACTATAGATTTATTCCAACCCAAATAACACACAGTGAAATTGATATAATCACAACATGTAACTGAGAAGTCATCTGTTATTTCTAAGGTTAGTTATTTGCTTCTAGGCAAAGTCTATCACTGCACAAAGATATCTTTAAGATATATGCAAAAGAGATCAAAGCCATGAATCTACCAAATCATAACTGACAGTATGATACAAAATTATATACATTCTTGTAAAATCCAATAGCTAATTTGTCGGACTGATTAATTATCCATTATAAATACCTTATCAAGCTACTTATGACTTTTCCTATTCTAAAATTTTAAAGAAAAGTTGTATTGGGGAGGGGGAGTCAAAAGAAAGGTTAGAACTTCCTAAATCAGCAAAATCTTGGGTATTCAGTTCCTTCATCAATGAAGTTAGATTTTCTTGCTCAAAAAAAGCAGCTGATAATTCTTTGTGAAAGTGTATGCAAAGCTAATCTTCTCATAATCTGACAAAGACTTAAAATGACAGATATGGTTTTACTGATGAATGTTCGGAATATATGATAAGTTTTAAATACAAAAATTTGATAATCAGAAAAAGATGTTGTTTTTAGGACACCTAATAAGGATAGAAAGCTTGGAGAATTTAACACTCCTAAGATGCATAGGAAAGCAAGAGAAGCAGAAGAAAGCAGTGGGTTAACCTATTTGGCAAGTTTGAGTAAATGAATAAAGGATCAAGTACCTTAAAGACAAAGAAAAATGATTGTTCCCATCCTGAAAGGACATGGTACATAAAAAGAGAATCTGATAACTTTAACAGTGGGTTTTAATTAAAGCAAAAGTGACTTGAGAACAGGATTTGAAAATTGTAAACATTATATGAGAAAAAGATTTCTGAAAAAATGCAAATAAATTTCAAAGAATTGACAAGATTGCTAACATACCTCTCTTGGCATACACCTGACTTGTCTGTTTCAGAAACAGTCTCGACATCTTTCAAATTTTCTACACTCTCTTCATTATTATCTTTGGATTCTAACTTTTGAGGTTCAGGCAATGCTTTTTGCACCGTCTCTTCAGAATCATGTGTTGGCAAAACTGAATCTGTCGAAAGCTGCATCTTTTCTTGCTGTGACTGCTGCTGTGGTTGCAGCTGCTGCAGTTGTTTCTGCTGCTGCTGCTGTTCTTCTTCTTGTGTTGTTGTTGTTGTTGTTGTTCTTGTTGTTCACTTTCTTCTGCTTCCTCTTCTTGTTCCTGTTCTTGCTGATCTTGTTCCTTTTTTTTGTCAGATTTATTGGGAGACAAAACTCCATTTCTCTGCTCTTTAGATGGTTTCAGTTTTGTGTAAGTCTTTGGTACAGGAGATGAAGCTGATGTTGAAATAGTGCGTTTGGGGCTCTGCAAGTCCACTTTGCGCAATCCAACTTTGTTTTTCTGTAATGATCTATATGAAAAGCTTGGTTTGTGGGTTGGTTGTTTAACTGGTTCATCGTGGAACATATAACAGCTACCCCTGTCACGTTGGCCTAATGGTACTGACTTATGACTTGTGGGTGAGGCAGGAATGCGGGCATAACAAGGGACACGCCCAGCAGGTTCGGCTGGGGATGCTTTACGTGAAGTTTTGAACTGCTGGTTTCGTAGGTATGCATCACTTTCTGCAAGACGACGTTTCCGGGACTCAGCATTTAAAACAATGGATTCTGGGAGATTAGGGCACCGCAGGACGTTCTCTTCTGGTTTATAGTGGATAAGCATCAGGTTTAGACGAGAAGTAGTGAAGTTGCACTGTCCACATGAATATTGGAGATGGTCACTGATTTCATTTGTGTAATTGCCAGTGATACTTTTGGAACCTAAGATGGAGGCAGTTGCAGTAGTGGCAGAAGATGTATTGGTAGAGATAGATGTGGGGGTTTCTTGAAGGAAAGTAGGCTCATGGCTTGGAAAGTGACGAGTAGAGAATGGAGATTCGGAGTTGCCTGACAGGTTGGGAAAAGCATCATCACAGTTGGAAGAACTGCTGCTGCTTTTCGATCCTGTGGCTTGGCTTTTTTTAAGAGTTTTTTGAGATGTCCTCAGAGCCAGTAGAAACCTTTCCTTCAAATCTTTTGGCAGATTCTCACCTAAAAAGGTAAACCAAAAACAAGAGAAAGAATAAAGAAATAAATAAAACAATGTGCCACGGGCATTTGTATGTTTTTGTCTATAATGTAACTTTTTACTATACTAGGGTTATAGTTCTTGCACTGGTGACGCCAGGTGTCAGTGTCTTTGTTATGATACACTTTATGTTATTAAAGTCAGGAGGTGAAAAGACTGAATCTATGAAAGAGTAGTATAGAATCAGAACAATTGAAAAAAATATCTTTGGAGAGTCACAATAGTAAAGCCTTAACAAAATATCAATTTCGTATACAGTCATTTTTTATGGTATGAGTAAAGTAGTAAATGTACAGTCAAACTTCTCATCTATGGACCCCCTATCAACAGACTTCAGATGAACAGGCATAATCTACAGGTAAAAAAAAAAAATTCTGCAGAAAAAATAACTTCTAAATTATCAGCAATGTATTTCAAAATTTGTGGGTTTAGTTCCCAAAATGACCGCTTGGCGGTGGTGTCTGGTTTTTCAATTGTAAACAAAGATGGCTAGACAGTATATAAAGTACAATACATTAGTGCATGCATGAGAAAGTAGCTGTGAGAAATCTATTATTTTTGTTGTTTTGATTAATATATCTATATTAAGTATATATTTATTCATGCCATATATACATGTTTATAATATTTACATTATGATCATAACTAGTGGCAGTTACTACAGCGGTTTTATAACTAAAAAATAAAACCTTCTCATTTATGGACAATCGGCTTTAAAAGACCACCCCTATTAGTCTGTTGATGAGAGGTTTGTCTGTAATTATAAAATAGAAAACACTGGAAGTTTAAAATTAATCCTTTTTACAAGAATATTTAAAGAGAAATTTACCGATTAAAAATTTATGTTATTTTTACTTTTAATAATTATATCTTGTGACTTTAGTTATTTGCGACATTTACAACTTTGGTGAGAAGAAAAGATATAAAGGAATCTATTCAACTGGGAAATTAAATAAAAAAAATAAGTTCTAAAGTTCTTTTAAACTTTTCTACAAAAATTCAGTTATCTTATAAAACTTAACTGAAATTTAATCCATTAAAATTCTTTATATAATCTACTGCATTTATCAATAGTAAAATTATTCACTAAATATCACTGACATCTTGAACCAGATACTATTGTAATACTGAACACAAAATTGATTTGGCAAAACTAAAAGTTTAATTCTTATTGACAAGGAATTTTGAACTTCTTTTTAACCTACATTAAAACCTAATTTACACTCTGTCTTCTAATACTATAACCACTAAGTCATTTTTTTTCAATAATGTTCCAGAATGCTATTTAATATATAAATTTATAAAAAAAATTCTCATTAAGAATACTCTATCCAATGTGTATTTAATCTTACAATACTTGTTAAACTCTTTTAATCAAATGATGATATTCTTTTCTACTCTTGAGTAAACAGGACAAAGCAATAAACTTATTTCTTATATAATGTCAGACAATTTAACCTGTCCTAAACTTACTAAACTATGTTTGTAAAATGTTTTATTTTTATTGCAATGTCATCTGTACAGTTATAAAATAATTATTTTAATGATGATGAAAAGTGAAAAATGCAGTTAAAATCATAAAATTTTTTCCACAAGATTCATCACGTGCAAACTCATGACAATTCAAAACAGTTAATGAATCATACAAACATTTCCAGTTATAAACATTTTAATATAAAACAGATAATCAGTCAGTCACGACTAAACTGTTCTCTAAAACTAAAAGTAACAAAAGATAACTATGCAAATTCATCAATATTATTTTTTACAAATGCCACATGTTGACACACTAGTTTTTTCTATTATGATATCCTTCAGTATTTAATTGCCACTTCAAATAATAGTCATTTGAAAAAATCATGAATACCAATGTCTTATTTGTAAATACCAAAATAAAGTTGACAATTAGAGAAATTTATCAACCAAACTAACAGAATGCTCCTGAGGCCATCAAATATAGTTGACCAAAGAAATCAGATTTAATGACAGCTGCCTGATAATTATATGTAATTACTCTCCTACTAATTATAATCAAGTATTTTTAATCATAAATTTTTGTTTCTCAATACCAATAACTCCTTTAATGGATTTTTCATAAATTACCCGAGTAATTTAAAAAAAAGAAGTTGTGCTGGCTTTTGGAAGTTAGAAAGGAGCTATGACTTTCTACAAAAGAGTAAATCAGCAACATCTCATGGAATCAGTTCTTTTATCAAAAAGTTTACAAACTTTTCTTAATCAAAGAAAGTGGCTGATAATACTTTGTGTAAGTGTATGTAGAGTTAATTCTGTAGCCTTCCAATTTAGTAAAATGTGAATTTGTAAGAAATTTAGTAAAATTAATATTGCCATTGGAAATGTAAAATAGTTTCAGAATTATTTTTCATGCAATCAAGGTCCATTCTATATTTTTTAAAAATGAATAAAATAATAATTACAAATAGTCTTTGTTATTTAAACATTCTGTGATAATCTTGCAAATTTCTAATGCTGTTATTTTTTTTCATTTATTTTTTATTTTGAATGGTTCCTATTTTAATAAAAGTCTAATAGAAAGAAAATGTTAAATTACCTGTAATAGGAAAATTTTCAATAGAAGAGAATTTATGAACCAATAAAGCAATGATATTCATTTTTATTCAATCTAAGTGCACCACACTTGAAAAATCAATTTAAGAGAAGGTAAAGCACAAGTACAATATAGATCATTAATATAGGCTTGGAAAGTAGTCCAAGAATTTTGGCATCAGTGCAGGATTTAAAATAATCAAACTTTCACTATCTCCTTCCCTGGAATCATAAGTTCTAAAACAATTCAGTTTCTAATTTTCAAGAAATTTTACATAAAAATTCTATTAGAAAATGAAACAAACCCCATCCAATTCTCATTCAATTGATGAGAACAGATACGGTATTTTTTTTTAAAAACTATGCTGAATGATCAAGCACAGTGGAGTAATGGATAGTGGCTCAGATTGAGGAATCAAAGTCCCAAGATCAAATTCTAATTGAGTTCAATGCATTAAGGTACATGCAAATACCCTTGGAAAAGGTATGAATCCATCTCTTTCCATTCCTCCCAGCTATGGGTAAATAGCAGGACAGACTGGGTCCTAAACACTTGAGTAGCAACCAGTATAAAAAAAAGGAAAAATATCTGAATTCAAAATCAGTCTATCTTGCCAAAGAATCACCACTACTACTGCAGCTGCAGTAATGGTGGTGCCCCTATAATCCTCATGATGCTAAATGATCACCAAGACAATTTTGTGCCCCAATATTAATGATTTATTTGACACCTTTCTTTACGTAAGAAATAACTGAGAACTGTACTACTTTTTTCATAAATGTTACAAAAGGTAAAATGATTATTCTGAATTAATTTCATTATTACTTTTATAATTATTAATTCTAAAATATCCAATTCTACTTTTAATTTTTCATATTTTAAATATCAGTTTAGGCATTTTCAAAACTTTCCTCCAATTTCAAATGTTTCTCATAAAAAGAATAAAATTATAAAAACCATAAATTGTATGTCATTCAGAATTTATTTATTCTACCAGAAAATGAAAGCAAGTTATGTTCTCACTGTTTTTAACAAAATAGCATAAAAATCATAAAATATCTGCCCATTTCCACAAAATTTATTCAAAAACTTTACATGACATTAGCAAAAAATACCTGCAGAATTATCATGTCACAAGTATATTATTATGCTGATAACGTTTTTTCTTTTTCCTTGCAATGACATTATAAAAACATATCTTTATCCTTCCTATCTGTTTACTGCAAGCAAGGAGTGAACATTTCATTTTATACAATGCTATGCATTCATAGAGAAAGTCAACTTACTGTAACCAGAAGAATATCAGAACTCATATAAGCATCAAGAAACTCCAGAAATTACTTTCCTCTATTTCAGTTAATATTCATGTAAATTTCAGAAAAACAATAAGAATTAACATTGGTTCTAAATAATCAAAAGTGACTTACCTTTTTTAATGAAATTCTTTTTATTTTCTGAGTCAAATGGCATAATGTTAGATTCTGAACGTATGATATCACTGATGGAGGAAGAAAAATAAATAGAACATAAAAAATATATTAAATATAAACAGAATAAATCAAATTAGATTATTATTCATATTTACCAAATAAATCAAGATATAAATCTGTAATAAATATGAATTCTCTAACCTGATTACAATACACAGGACCGTTGCAAATGTTATTAAACTCATTATAAGTTTTTGATATCCACTTGTATTTTCTAGTATTTGGGACAAATAGAAATAGAAAGACCTTTAATAATACAAGCAAAACCAAGCCTAAGAAAATATTTTTATGAGCATACTCTTGTATACAGGGCAAGGCTTCTCATTCAGTTAACAGATCATGTTGAATATGAATAATTCAACCCATGCTTACACTTGGATTTCACATATGGAAATATGCTGAACTTTAACTTAGTAAACATATTGTAATAACTATATTAATAAAATGGTAGGTGTAACATTTAGGTCAATAGCTATGGTAATAAAAATGGTAGGGGTATTAGGTTTAAAAAGTTTTAGCTTCTTTTGTTTCCATTTTCCTTAAAATGTTGTCATTAGTAATATTTTCAGTCCATAGTATTCTCAGCATCCTTCTGCAAAACCACATTTCTGTTGTCTTAATCTGTGAGGAGATCATCCAGCATTCACTGCCATATAAGAAGACTGATATTGCATAACAGTTCAATACTCTTTTCTTTGTTTCGAAAATTTTCCTATTTCTTAACACTTTGCTTAGCTTTTGGAAGGCTTCTTTCGTTATTCCAATACACCTTCAGCTATCTATGTGGCACTTTCTGTCCTCAAATCACTTCCCAGATATGTAAATTTTTGTACTTGCTTGATTTTGCTTTCTCCAATTCATAGTTTACATCTTTGACTGTTCCTTTTGCTGACAACCATACATTCTCTCTTCTTATAATTGATACGCTTAATGCTTTCTTCTCACTTTCCTTTACTACCTTCAGTAGGAATCTTTGTAGTTTCCTTTCTGTGTTTGCCATCAGTACTGTTGTCAACTGCATATCTTATGATAAGACAGTGGCCACTACTAATGAATCCAAGTAGGATCTCTAATTCTCTCAGGATCACCTCACTGTAAAGGTTGAAAAAGTCCAGTAAGAAGACATATCCTTGTGTTATGCCCCCCTTTCTATTTTTGTGTATTTACTGAAATTTTCTATCAGTATGGGTTTGCTCACAGTATAAGTTCTGGATTATTTTAATATCTTTCCCAAATAAAACAAGCTTACCTAACAGTTCTTTGTGTCATATTTTATCAAACACTTTTGCATAATCTATAAAATATACATTCTTCTGCATTTGTATTGCTGTGATATCATTCTAAACACATTGCATTCCTTTTTCCAAGCATCTTTAACAAAACCACACTGTTCTTGTCCTATTTCCAGCCTAATTACTGCTATGCCTTCTATTCATCAGAATTCAGATGATAAAGTTTCATTATGTGGCTCATTAGGATGATTGTCCAATGGAGTTCACATTCATTTGAAACTGGTTTCTTAGGCAGCACTATGGAAATGAATTTAATTAGATCTGTCGTGTATATATAATTCTGCAATTTTGTCAATGCCAAAAACATCTAAGGATGTTCAGCATAAAACAATGATGTTGAAAGTTTCAAAATTTTATTATTTTTTAAATAACAAAAATAAACAAAAAAAAATGACAGATATTATAATTATATTTGCCAGTAATTCAACTCTCGTGTTCTGTGGAAGAGTTTGTTAGGAGTTCTACAAAAATGTTATATAATTTTGTTGTTTGACTTCCAAGTTCTTATAAATTTTATCTAAGTATAAATGGTGTGGACATAGAAACCCATACTGCATGGTGACAGCCGGTTTCACACATTAAGTGATCATTAGTGTATATGGCACACTTCTTTGGGTAGGCTCTCTATACATAGGTCACTAAGAGCCTATGGAAAGAAAGAAACCTGTTGTTTGTTTACTACTAATGTAATATTTTCAGATCATAATCTTGAGCTTGGGTTTGTTTATTTTATTTGTTTCATTCATTCAATTTTTTGTATACTTTCTTCAATTCTAAAGTTTGGTATTTGCTTTTAAAGAAAGTTTATTAGTTTCAAGTTATTAATTATTTATTCTTTGGAGTAAGTCATGATGTAATTATAGGTAGCATAATAGGAATTAAGGCACCACCAGTCACACCGCAGTATTGATTTCAATGTCCATACTGTTTATATTTACATTCGCTCAGTATAAAGTTTACAAAAAACATTAATTTTATGAAATGTAAGCTAAAGTTATTCATATTTTTTTAACAATGTTTCAATTTTATATATAATGTTCTTTGAGTTAAAAGGAGAAGTGTAAAAAATAGAATACCAAAAATGTTCACCAAAATGAATAAGTAATAAAAAAAATATATACATTTTTGTGTGGATATTTTGATAAATGAATGTTATTTCAAGGGCTCATCCAGTCAAAAAATATTGAGAAAGAGAAGCATACAATATTTTTTTTTTTAAATATGTAGCTTCTCTGTGACTTTTCCATCAATACTTTCATGGTAACTGTCCTGATAAACTTTTCTCTAGGGTACCTAGAATTTATGAATTTAAGTGCAGTACCAGATTGGTGGCAAGGTCTCATCATTTTACAGTTGAAATGGCTAAATGCAACCATAAGTTCTACGCCAACAGTTTCTTCTAATACACTTCTTGCTTGGGGAACTCTCTTCTGGCTCCCCAGTCAACATTGATCTTCAAAAATATAAATGCAATGTCAATCTTTATCTTCTGTCTTATTAATTCTTGTTCTATCTCCTTAATAGCATATTTTTCTCAATCTCTCACACTTAGTAACCCCTTGCATCTTAGTGATGGTAAAATGATTTAAAAAAAAAAAAAAAAAAAATATATATATATATATATATATATATATATATATATTTCTACTTGACTTTCATTAACAAAAAACTATTTCTCTTGATCATCTGTGATATTTTGTTTATGATTTACATATATTTCATTGATGTTTAAAAACAAGAGAACCTCATTAACATTTTCATTGCTGAGTAACAAAGATTGACCAATGATAATTTGTTGAAAAATTTAACCAAGAACTACTTACTAAGCATCTTCACAAGGAAATGTGATATAAGCAATAGGATCTTTCTTTCCATTATTTGGTATTTTACAATCTTGTTGTGCCACAACCTGAAAAGAAAAAACAATGAAATCCAAGAGAGATGAAGAGAGCCAAGTGTTTAAAATTAGACAGACTTCATAAAATCGTATGACAAAAATTCTTTAAGATGGAGTTATGAAAAAAATTCCAGATAATTCATTAATCTCAAACTGCAGTACATATTTTATTAATTATCATGATTATATAGTAACAGTCTAGAAATGTTCAAATTCCATCTTGAGAAAATGATTTTGGCTTCAACACAAAGGTGTCAATAAAATTTTGAACATCAAAGACATCTTTATTTTTTTTTTTTTTTTACTGGAATGTGGTATTGATAAGAACTAATAATAATCCAATAGCACCAATCTTGCTGAATACTGCCACATATGGAAAACTTTGCAATGCCAAACCTTATGGTTTTATGAGTGGGGAAAGCAATATATTGTGAACAAATGTTGGATAGATGAACACTGAATACAGAACACTCAAAACTAGCTTTCAGCTTTGTATTCAATCTCTAATCAAAGAAAAAAAGAATGCTGAGAACATTTGCATATATCAAATATTTAGCTAATAATGGAATCCTATAGCAAAAAACGTCTAGATTTATTAGACCTTCTTAATATAAACTCAATCATATTTTAGATCTACTGAGTAGAATCCAACAGCTGAAGAAACAAGTATTGCATCAATATCAAGTCTTAAGTGTCCTTTCCTTAAAATTTAAGTCCTCTGTTTCCAGGCTAAACCATGTGGATTTGTGAGTAAAGTGATGTACATCAAGATAGTGCAGTGGGCTTATAAAATCCTGATTCAATGCTATCTTGATAATAACCCACTCTCAAATAAAAAAAGTACAAATTATTTTCTAAAAAGTTAAGATAAATTTTTACCCTCTATAAAACAAAGACATTTTTCATTTAGCAATTTATTTTTATTACAAGTGATATGTTCTAATTATGTCTCCATTTTTGGCATAGAATTCCTATATATATATATATATATATATATATATATATATAGAGAGAGAGAGAGGGGGGGGGTTAGAGATAGATATCAACATTACATTTATTTATTTTTTCTTATTGCTTATATTTGATCAAATAATACACAAGCAAGATTCCCTGTTTAACATTTGATGCCTATTTTCTACATTTCTTTGAAATTGTTCAGCAGAATTGCCACTTAAACATGCTCCAAAAACTGATGTAAAAACTATTAATAATACTGACAAATCATGTATTGACTAATTTCAATTACATTTCTTAAAATGATTTGAGCAGTAAAGGCACTTCTTGTGCACAAATTTATTTCCTCTATTCTACTGAGAATATGTAACAGTAATGTCCAAGTGTCTGAGAAAATGGTGAAACTTAACCTACTAGATGAATCTCTATAAACAGGCCAAATATATTTAAATAAATTTAAAAAGAATCAGTTATCTTTCTTGCCAACTGTTATGGGACCTTACCCATAATAACATAATGGACTATTCCATAGGTAATAAATACTGTGCCTCAAGAGGAAGCAGAGAGTTCCGTCTGAAGTCTGGAGTGAAGTCAGAGCGAGTCAGTCAGTCGAGTCAGAGGCAGTCCAAAACAGAGTCGCGTTCAGACAATTACTACTAAACCTGATTGTTCGTACTAACACTTTCTACTTCTCTGTATATATTCCTGTTTGTAATATATCTGTGTTATTCCATATACGTGTTCGAGTTCTTCTTTATTGATTCTACCTTGGACTATCACCGTAGTATATATACGTTAACATGGAAGATTTTAAGTCAACCATTATGGAACTTATCAAAATCCAGTTTAAACAACAACAAAGGTACGAACAAAAACATCTAGAAATGCAAGAATTATTGATAGGTGCAATGGCAAATAAGGAGCAAAAACCCGAGAATGAATCAGTTCTCTCTCAAGATGCTATTTGGAGTAATATCAAAGATTTCAATTATGCACCCGACGAAGATAAAACTTTTGCAAATTACTTCCGAAGATATGAAGATCTATATGATTTTGACTGCAAAGATTGGTCAGACGCACGTAAAGTATGCCTTTTATTAAGAAAATTAGGCACAGGCGAATATATCAAATTCATTGATTATATCCTTCCCAGAAAAACAAGCGAGTTAATGTTCAAAGAATCTATAAAATTGCTAACGGAACTTTTCAGCCATAATACTTCACTATTTCATAAAAGATGGAAATGCATGAATCTTACAAAAAAGGATAGCGAAGATTACTTAACTTTCGCATCCATTGTGACGACTTCAAATTATCAGAACTCAGCGCTGACAACTTCAAATGCTTAATTTACGTCCAAGGTCTGGTTTCAACCAAAGACACAGAAATGAGATGTAGAATACTTACTAAACTGGAAAATGAACAAGATCTGACACTTCAAAAGCTAGGCAAAGACTGCCAGAGATGCGTCAGCGTAAAAAAAGACTCTAATGACATAGAACAAGCTGGCATAGTATACATACGCAAAGTACGAAGACAAACAAATTTTCCCTCCTCACAAACAAAGCAAACAAATTTTCTCTCCTCACAAACAAACCGAACTGATTTTTCCGTCTCAAGAACAGGTAAAACAAAATTTTCTAATTATAATCAACATAAAAAGAAACTACTACCAAGTCCATGCTATCATTGTGGGTCTTGGCATTGGGTTAAAGACTGTACATATTGTGCTAAAACTTGTCTATCATGTAAAAAGATTGGTCACAAAAGTTCTTACTGCTGGTATAGAAAAGAAAGCAGAATAAGAATTACGAGGACCGACCAAAGAGATGAGACTAATATAAAAAAATATGTACCAGTTGAAATGCAAAACAGAAAAGTTAAGTTACAGCTGGATTCTGGCTCAGACTTAACTATCATAAATCTACAAACATGGAGAAAACTGAACAAATCTGTCATGTTAAAAAAAACGATAAAATTAAGAGATCAGTTATGAGGAGAAAGATAAAATTCGATAAAATCACAAACGTAACATTTAACAGAATGACGAAAAAACTAAAAATGTACGCCTTAAGAAATACCAAAAACCTATTCGGGACAGACTGGATGCAAAAATTTGAATTGTGGGATCTACCTATTAGCACCTACTGCCAGAATATAAAAAGCTTATCAACCGAGGCAGACAAATTAAAAGGAAAACTAAAAACGAGTTTCTCCAAAGTATTTTCGGCAGGTCTCGGAAGATGCAAGAAAATGGCAGCTAATATCAAAATAAAGGATAACATTCAACCTATTTTTAAGAAAAAAAGGAGTGTACCGTTTGTGTCAATAAAAAAGATTGACCAAGAATTATCTAGACTCGAAAATACGGGCATATTGAAAAAAGTAGAGTACAGCAAATGGGCTGCACCAACGGTTTACGTTAAGAAGAAATCAGGAGAAATTCAAGTTTGTGCTGATTTTTCTACAGGTTTGAATGCAGCAATAAAGGACTACCACTATCCGCTACCTAGTCCTGAAGAAGTATTCACTAAATTAAATGGTGAAAAATATTTTTCAAAAATTGATCTAAGTGAGGCCTACCTGCAAATTCCAGTCGATGAAGAAAGTTCAAAACTACTAAGCATAAACACAGAAGGGATTGTACAGATACCAAAGACTACCATTTGGAATTAAAGTAGCGCTGGCTATTTTCCAGCAGACAATGGATATGATGCTGGCAGGACTAGAATACACAATAGCATATCTGCATGACATATTGATTAATAGCGAAACCGTTGAACAACACTGGCAACATGTACAAGAAGTGTTTAAGAGAATTCAAAGCTACAGATTCAAAGTGAAAGAAAATAAGTGTGATTTTTTCATGAAGGAAATTAAATATCTTGGCCATATAATAGACCAAAAAGGTAGACGTTCAGACCCTGAAAGGTCTACAGCAATAAAAAAGATGCCAGTTCCTAAGAACATAACAGAACTACAAATCTTTCTTTGATTAGTGAATTACTACCAGGAATTCATAACCCAAATGCATAAACTTCGTGCACCATTGAATGAACTGTTAAAGAAAGAAAAAGTTTGGCAGTGGACAGATCAATGCCAGGAAACATTCGAAAAAATAATCAAGACATTAACATCGGATTTATTTTTAGCACACTATGATCCTAACCTAGAGATTATTGTAGCAAGTGATGCGAGCGCCTCCGGTGTCGGAGCGTGTATATTACATAAAATGCCAGATGGGACAATAAAACCTATCGCACATGCTTCTCGAACCCTTCTACCAGGGGAGAAAAACTATTCACAAATTGAGAAGGAAGCTCTAGCAATTATCTTTGCAGTAACAAGATTCCATAGATACATCTATGGTAGACACTTTACTCTGCAGACGGATCACAAACCGTTAATAAAATTTTTGGTTCAAAAAAAGGTCTACCTGTGTACACGGCAAATAGGCTACTTAGATGGGGAATGATTCTTCTGAACTATAATTTCAGATTGGAATATTTACCAACGAAAAGAATCGGGCACGCGGATGGTCTGTTGAGACTTATACCAACAAAGACAGAGCCATTGGAAGATACGGTAATCGCAGCCCTTAGAAATGAAGAAGACATAAGAACAGTACTATGTTGTACAGTCAGAAACCTCCCAGTCACATTGCAAGATATAAAAAATGAAGTAAAAAATGACGAATTTGTTAATGAAACAAAAGCAAAACTAGCAGAAAAAAATGAGAAAATTTCGGACAGCTTTTCTCTATGCGATAATGTGCTACTTTACAACGAAAGGGTTGTAATCCCCAAAACTTTACAAAAACGGATACTAAAGGATTTCCACAGAGAACACCTGGGTAAAAATAGAATGAAGTCGCAAATGCAAAGCTATGTATATTGGAAGGATATGGACCAGGATATTTCTCAAATGGTGGAAATGTGCAAGGGGTGTAATTTAGCAGCTAAAACACCGTCAATCATACATAAGCCTTGGCCTGAAATTGATCATCCATGATCAACAATACACGCAGATTATGCAGTACCAATTGACGGGTTCTACTA